CCTATTTATGAAAAATATTTTAGCAAACTAAAGTAGAGAAAGGAATTTCTTAATCTGATGAAGTCTAAGAAATATACAGCAAATATTATAGTTAATGGTGAAACACTGAAAACTTTCTCCTCCAAATGAGGCTGAGACAAGGATGCCTGCTACCATCATTTATATTCAACAGTGTTCTGGGGGCCCAAACTAATTATATAAAACAAGAAAAATAATTCAAGTAGAAGGAATGGAAAGGAAGAAATAAAACCATGATTAAGTTAAGACAACTGTGTAGAATACACAGAAAATCCAAAATACTTTACAACGATTAGTAAGCTAATTTAGCATATTCAATATATAAAAATCTATTTTATTTCTACATAACAGCATATAAAACAAGCATTTTAAAAAATAATTTAAATGATACCATTTGTAGTAGCCTCAACAAGACTCAAGTACCCAAGAATAAAACTAAATCACCAAAAACATTAATAGTAACTGAAGACCACCTTTAAAAAAAATAGAAAACTATTCTGTTAATTGATTGGAAGACTTATTATAAACATGTCAACTCTCCCCCCAACTCAATCTACAGATGTGAGAAAAACAAAACCCTCACAATTGCTTTTGTATTTTTTTGAAAAGTGACAAGTAAACAAAGTTTATGCCACCAAAGACTTGTTATAATGCTATCATAATTAAGGCAGTGTGGTATTAAAGAGAGGCAACAGACCAATGTTGAGAAATGAGGCAAGAAACAGTCCCACAAATATATCTACACATATACAGTAGTAATTTGATTTATAACAAAAGTACATTGCATGGCAGTGGGGGGGGGACGTCTTTTTAGTAAATGGTGCTATTATCCATATGGAGAAAAATGATCCTTGACTCCTATTTCACATCCCAACAAAACAATAACAAAATTCCAGATGGAATTTAAATCTAAATGTGAAAGATTAAGAAAAAATTTTCCAGAAGAAAATGCAGGAGAGTATCTTTATTATCTTGGGTTAGGCAAACATTTATGTACAAAGACTAAGCAAAATGGAAAAAAAAAAATTTATAATTTGATCATTTAAAATTAAGAACTTCTATTCTTCAAAAGTCAACCCAAATAAAATTGAAGATATCTGTAATACACAGAGCCTGCAAAAGAAAGAACTCCTACAAAATAATTAACAAATAAAGATAATTCAATAGAAACCCAGGTAAAAGATCTGAACAGACACTTCATACACAAAAAAGATATCTAATGGCTAGAAAGACACCAACCCATGTGGTATTTAGTCTTAATCACCAAATCCACAAATGGTACAAAATTAACAGTCAATATATTAGATAACAAACATTATTTTAAAGCCAAAAAAAAAAAAAGGGCCAGAATAATTTTATTTTAAATACTTTTTATTTTAGAGAGAGAGTAAGGGAGAGGGAGAAAGAGAAACATCGATCAGCTACCTCCTGCATGCCCCCTACTGAGGATCGAACCCCCAACCCAGGCACATGCCCTGACGGACAACTGAACCAGTAACATCCTGATGCATGGGATGAGCCACACCGGTTAGAGCCTAAATAAACTTTAAATTTAATAAGAATAAATAAGAAATGCTGCACCTTAGTTAAAAATGAAAAAAAAAAAGTACATCTAGTATAAGGGAAGCTTTGCTTAAAAGTTGAGACAAAAACAACAAGGTTTTAAAAACAAGTTCAATATAAGCCAACAACATGACACTGCTGCCAAAACAAAAAAAATTTTTTAGGGTTAATGAAATAATCAATCCAAGATAAAGTGAGGTGATAGTTTTACTTTACTGCTCATTAGTGACAACAAATGAAACGTCTCAATTTAAGAAACACACTAAAAAGAATGTAACACACTAGAAAAACTGGAAGGTAAGAGGGAAATCTTGTCAGACAAAAAGTGGTTAAAAAGGCAAGGAATGTTCAATCAGGAAAAGAGATAACTTCGTGGGTTTAATACTTGTCTTTAACTAAAAGGCTATTGTTTAAAATAAGAAATAGCTCTATTCTGTATTGCTCCAGTGGCCAGAATTAAAACCAATCTGAGTGGCCACTAGAAAGAAGCAGTTTTAAGATTCAACATAAGACAATATTGTGAATATAGTTAATAAAAACTTTCCAGTCATTTAGATAGTTTTTCCACAGCTGAATGAACAAGTATCCAAAGCACAGGATCACTTATCAGAGATGTTAGAACTTAAATTTTGTGGTTAGACTGAATCCGTGTTTCCCAAACTGAATGCATATTAATAAAACTATGAAGCTTTTAAAAATACAAATTTCCACAGTTGCCACCACAAGCCCAGTGGGTGTGGATGGGGCCTGGAAGCTCTGTAAGAAGCCTCCCAAATTATTCTGATTTGCCTAGTAGCCCAGTGGTTTGAGATCCTGTATTTGAAAACCACATAATTAGATGGTCTGTAAGATTCCTTAGAATTCCAAAATTCTAATGAAAATCATCTTTATAAACAGCTTGAAGCAGTTTTATCTTTGTATATGCAAGTACTTTCGAAAATAAATTAATATCAATCTTTGACCAATCTTCAATCCTCCCCCCCCAAAGTACATGACAAAATTATCATATACTTGAAAATGCAATTATTATATAAAAGAATGTCTCTAACTTGGATAAATTATAAAGAAATCATCAATGTTCATTGAATGTTTACTGTGAGTCTATTATATGCCAGTAAACAAAAATGATAAAACCCTACCCCAAGAGAACTCAATCAAATCACCAGGAAACTATAATATTGTCTCATAAGGAAAACACAGTGCTATGGAGCACACAGAAAGGGAGTAATAAGTCTATAACATTCTTGTGTGACCACTCTGTCCTAAACTGGGGAGATACAAATTAAGAGAATTGTGAAAGAACCTTGAAGTAGGATTTAGGTGGAGGAAGAGTAAGACAGAAGAAGGAAATTAGAGAAAAGAAGCATAAAGATATTTTATTTTTCCATTTTTACCAGCACTTTAAAAAATTAGAAAACTTGGAAAAGATACAAATATAGTTTAGAGATGAGACTGTGTTTCTCTCTTACAAGGAATCAAGAAGGGAAATTATTGGTTAGAAGCAATAGTGTAAACAGAGGTGGAAAAACCAGTCCCTAAGAATGACAGAAGAAAAAGGAATTAAACTAAAACAGAGAAATAACCTTGGGGGTTACTCTAGCAATCAACTCAAGCTCCTACAGCTCTTTACTTGCCTCCCTACTATATCTTCTATTCCCATCAGACCAAGCCCACTCACATTTTATAAGAATTAAGTATGGCCCTGGCCAGTTTGGCTCAGGGGTTAGAGCGTCGGCCTGTGGTCCAGAGAGACCTGGGTTCGGTTCCCGCTAAGGGCACACCTCGGTTGCAGTTTGTCCCCGACCCTGGTTGGGTTGTGCGGGTGGCAACCACTCGATGTGTCCCTTTCACATCGATGTTTCTCTCTCTCTCACTCCCACTCTATCTGAACAAAAAATGGAAAAAAATGTCCTTGGGTGAGGATTAAAAAAAAAAAAAGAAATTAAGTATGATAAAACTTGGCATTACTAAAGGCAAATTCTTAAGTAGATCCCTCTTAGAAGTTCTGATACCATTGTTTCCTGGTGTCACCTCAATAATATTTATTAAATTACCTATAGTAATAGGTCAGATTAAGTGACAATATAACAAAATAATATAATCTTTGTAGAATATCACCTTCAAAGATCATGTTGTAAAAGTATGTCACTGGTTACAGGCTGACTCAAGAAGATACCAGGAGAAAGAAAGAAAATAATGGTTCTTAAAGGCAGCTGTAATAAAGCTTTGAGGTTTATTAGAATGGGCAGTAATTTCTATTTATCTCATTATTGTGTCCCAAATACCCAGGATAGTGTTCAGTATATGGCAGATATGTAATAAACTGAACCTCAAGGTAAACTAAAAATAACACAAGCACACAAAAATTGAAAATGGAAAAAAAAAAAAAAAGAAAGAAAACTGCTTTAGATCCAAAGTATAACTCTACTACTTATTAGCTAAAGTCTTGAACAAACTGGGACTATTGCCTATTTCAAAAGATTAAATGAGATGTTAAATGTGATAGCACACATAAATGCTCCTAGCATAAAAGGTATTCATTCAAGTTAACTAATCTTCAATTCGCTAAATGATAATTAACAATAAATGTAAAACATATTTCTTCAGCTTGTGAGAAAGAATAATAGAAGTAGGTTAGAATTAAAAAGGCATATAGATTTTAATAACCTATGAGCAAAGGTTAACCTAAACCAGAGAATTTCAACCAGTATGCCATGGCACATTGGTTGAAAATTGCTCACCTAAACTAACACAGGAGGACCTTAGATATTTGCTATTCATCCACCTACACATTATCAAAATTTTCTTGGCCATTATTCTTATCCCAAGCACAATACTAGTTACCAAGGTTAAAAAGATGTGTAAGACATCTTATACAGTAAACTTTAGAGTTTATAAACTTCACAGTTATTTGTAAAAAATAAATCTGATATAATTATAGAAGTACAGAATTTTTAAAAAGAAAGGGCATATAATCAAGAGTAATTGAGAGGTCAGCTGGCTATCTCCCTAGAAGCTTCCATCATTCTATTACCTTAGTAACTGACTTGAACTTCTTATAAATATTCAAGAAATATAGTGCAATTTTTGTTCCCTACAGACAATGATGCATACTCAGCTTCCATGGCTAACTATGTATCTAGAAATAAAGGCAGCTTACTACTGTTAGTATTGACTATTAGGAAAGAAAACAGATATACCTATCTTCCTAAAGCTGTAACTCAAGACAAAAACAAGCGAACAAAAACAGTTCATTCTTATTTTGTTTCAGAATAAAACTAGGAGATGTTTCTAAAATAAAGAATAGAGCATATTATTTAGGGGTACATATTTCTCCAACGTATATCAAGATACTATACAGGACAGTAGTACACTTATTTCTAATAAAAGTCATCTAGAGTAAAGAGAAAATTCATTACCTGGTTTGTAGGCATTTTCGGCACATTTACCTTCCACATCTGGGCTTCCCTAGAGATTGCCTTTTCCAAAAGAAAAGACAATCTCTGGTTTTCCAAAGGCCCTGGAAACTTCATGATATCCTTTGGAACTGCCTGCCTCCCAACTTGATGTAGCTACCTATAAAATCAAATATAAAACAATGCTATTTATGTAATTATAGAATAAGTACAACATTGCATAAATATGTTGATTCTTATTAAGCAATTCATAAAACAAAAGAATATTATGAGGCAGTATAGGATTTTATAGCTCTTTAAAATTTCATATGTTAAAATGTTACAATAATAGTTAGCTAACATAGTCTCACTTTAAATTAGAAACTCAAGTTATAAAGAGAAAACAGGGCCTTATAATTGACAGAACCACTGGACTCTAATCAAAATATAATATTACAGTGTCACACTGTGTCAAAAATTTTTAAGTCATGAGCTTTTTATACTAGGAATTCTTAAAAGTAGTCCCAAATATTCCTCTTAAAAATCTAAACAAATAAGGACTGCTAACCCTTTTCTTAAAAAAGTTGCATCAATGATATCATTTATTTCCACTGAATAGGTATGAAACCATCTTTTTTTTCATTTTAAAAGTTTTATTTTATTTTTAATCATTCATTCATTCATTCTCATGGTTCAAAAATGCATACAAACAGCACAGAGTAAAAAGGCAGTATGAAACCATCTTGAATTGAGCTTCCAATACAGTGTCTGCTAGCCTCACATGTGGATATTTAAATTAGAATCTAATAAAGTTAAAATTTAACTCCTCAGTCACACTAGACCCACTTCAAGTGCTCAAAAGCTACAAGTGACTAGCAGATATGGCACTGGACAATACAGAAAAGGAACATTTGTATCAGTGCAGTAAGTACTATTAGATGGCCCTGATCAGAAAACTTAACAGTAAGGTGGCCCAGCCAGTGTGGCTCAGTGGTTGAGCATCGACCCATGCACCAAGAGGTCACTGGTTCAATTCCCAATCAAGGCACATGCCCAGGTTGTAGGCCAAATCCCCAGTGGGGGGCATGCAGGAGGCGGTCAATCAATGTTCTCTTTCATGGATTTTTCTCTCTCTCTCCCTCTCCCTTCCTCCGTCTCTAAAAATCAATAAAAAAAGAAAAAAAATTTAAAAAACAGTAAGGTAAATGGCACTCTAAAACAGACATAAATACTAACTTTATTTATTTTTTTTTTAATCCTCATCCGAGGACATTTTTCCATTTTTTGTACAGACAGAGTGGGAGGGAGAGAGAGGAAGAGAGAGAGAGGGAAACATCGACGTGAAGGGACACATCGAGTGGCTGCCACCCACACGACCAACCAGGGCTGGGGACAAATTGCAACCGAGGTACATGCCCTTAGCGGGAACCGAACCAGGGCCTCTCCGGACCGCAGGCCGACACTCTAACCGCTGAGCCAAACCGGCCAGGGCATAAATACTAACTTTAGAAATGAAGTGTAAACTAGATGACCATCTGCCAAAAGATATTTAGAAAAAACACCTATAATAGATGGAGACTAAACTTTATAGATTATAAACTCTTCTCAACCTAATTTTAGTCTGAAATTTATTAACTTTTGTCAAAACTTCAAGCTTACTTAACTAATTATCTACCTCATTGCATTAGTTACACCAAACAAGGTGGCTCACCAGGATCCAACAATCTTCTCAACACACTCCAGTGGCTGGCTGCCCCTGGTGATTACTCTTCCCCTACAATGCTTCCTTTTAAGTTTATTTTTTGGGGGGGGAATGTAAGGCAGACAGAAAATGACAGAATCATGTCAAGAGTAAGGTCAGGTTCAAGAAATTTCTGTTCTTCAATCTCCTACAGTAAGACTTGAAAACATTTTGATACTTTTAACAACTTTTTAAAACAAAGAAATCTGGGCCAAAGAAGAAATCACAAGGGAAATTAGAAAATATTTTGAGATGAATGAAAAAGACTACCTAATACACCAAAACCTATGGGATGCAATGAATGTAGTGCTTAGAGGGAAAGTAATACCTGTAAATACCTATATTAAAATAGATCTCAAATCAATATCCTTACCTTTCACCTTAAGACACTGGAAAAAGTAAACTGTACCTAAAGCAAGTCAGAAGAAAAGAACAAATATCAAAGTGGAATTTAATAAAGTAGAGAACAGAAAAACCAATGAAACCAAAAGTTGATTCTTTGAAAATATCATTAAATTGGCAAACCTTTAGCTACACTGACCAGGAAAAAACAAAGGATAAAGCACTAAAATCAGGGATAAAGCAGGGATATATTACTACCTACATTACAGGAATAAAAAGGACTATAAAGGAATTTTATAAACTGTATACATATAAATTGAACAATTTAGATTAAATAGACAGATACCCAGAACCATAAACTATCAAAATTGACTTAAGAAACAGAAAAGCAGTTAAAACAACAACGAGGTATCACCTCACACCTGTTAGAATGGCTGCCATCAACAAACAAGTATTGGCGAGGGTGTGGAGAAAAGGGGACTCAAGTACACTGCTGGTGGGAATGCAGACTGGTACAGCCACTATGGAAAACACTAAGGTGTTACCTCAAAAAATTAAAAATTGAATTGTCATTTGACCCAGTGATCCCACTTCCAGGAATATACCCTAAGAAGCCTGAAACACCAATCAGAAAGAATATATGGACCCCCATGTTCATAGCAGCACTATTTACAGTAGCTAAGATCTGGAAAGAGCCTAAGTGTCCATTAACAGACGAATGGATAAAAACATTGTTGTACATATACACAATGGAGTACTATGCAGCTGTAAGAAAGAAAGATCTCTTATCCTTTGAGATGACATGGAGGGACCTGGAAAGTATTATCCCAAGCGAAACAAGCCAAGCAGAGAAAGACAAGTATCACATGATCTCACTCATTTGTGGAATATAATGAACATAACAATCTGAGGAATAGGGTAGACCCAGAGACGTGGAAGTAGGGTACAGACTGACAACCCTCAGAAGAGGGGATGGGGGGGGGGGAGATAAACCACAGAACTTGTATGCATGTGCACATAACCAATAGACACGAACAACAAAGCTGGGATGGAGTGGAGAGGTGGGGAGGAGGGTGTCAATGGGGAAAAAAAGGAGAAACATCTGTAACAAAAATGCCCTGGCTGGTTTGGCTCAGCGGCTGGAGCACTGGCCTGCGGTTCCCGTTAGAGGCACGTACCAAAAAAATTAATTAATTAATTTTTAAAAATAAGAATAAACTCTATTTAAGAAAAAAAAAACAAAAAAACAGAAAAGCTAAATAGCCATATAACAAGAAACGGAATTAGTAAACAAACTATTGTCAAAGAAAAGCCTATGCCCAAATGGCTTCACCGGTAAATTCTACCAAACATTTACAGAAAAATTAATACAAATTCTCCACAAACTCTCCCAAGCAGTAAAGAGAAGCACTTCTCAACTCATTTTATGAGGCCATTTAATTACCCTGCTACCAAAATAGCACTGCTAAAGAAAATAGCACTCAGAAAACTACAGATTAATTTCTCTTCTAAATACAGATACTACAGAACTCCAACAAAATACTAGCAAACTCAATCTCCCAATATAAAAAAAGATTAGCCCTGGCCAGTTTTGCTCAGCGGTTAGAGCATCAGCCTGTGGTTCAGAGAGACCCAGGTATGGTTCCCACTAAGGGTGCGTACCTCGGTTGCAGTTTGTCCCTGGCCCTGGATGGGTTGTGCGGGTGGCAGCCACTCAGTGTGTCCCTTTCACGTCAATGTTTCTCTCTCTCTCCCTCTCTCTCCCTCCCACTCTATCTGAACAAAAAATGGAAAAGTGTCCTCAGGTAAGGATTAAAAAAAAAGATTATACATCAGGCCATCACATATGCAATTTATACACACATATCTATGTGTGTGTGGGGGGGGGCAAATTATAAAACAAATAAGGTAAAATGTTAATTTTTACCTTATTTGTTTTAGTAAATCCAGGTAAAGGGTTTCTTTTTGAAATTACCTAAAAGTTAAGAATGTAGAAAAGCAAAAAAAATTATGATTTATGAAAGTGCTTATAGCAGGCTATTTACATTCCTTTTTTTAAATCCTCACCATAGGATATGGTGTTATTGGTTTGGGGGCAGGGGGGGTACAGACAGATAAGACACATCAATGTGAGAAAGAAACATCAATCAGTTGCTTCCTGTACTCTCCCCAACCGGGGATGAAACCCAAAACCTAGGTATGTGCTCTGACTAGGAATCTAACTCAAAACCTTTGGTGTATGGGACAATGCTCCAACCAACTGGGCAGCCAGACAAGGGCCTACATTCCATTTTTAAGTCTGTAGTAAGATAATGATATACTGAAGAAAGCACTGACTTGAGTTTTACTTCTTTTACTGGCAAAACACAGCCTACATTCTAATATGTAAAACAGATTATTTGAGTTAGGTAAATAATGAATCCTGACGAATAAAATATATTTAAAATATAATTTGTTTTAAATAGAACATTATAGTTGTAGCTTGTTATTACATGTCCATTGTAAATTATAGCCAGAATTTTTTAATGCTCAGATAGAAGTCTCTAGGAACTAAAAAAAAACAAAAACACTGTATTTTGGTTGGCATATTACACACACTTCTAACTTTGATCATTTCTTTCACATTTCTCTTTCCATTCTTTCAAATGCTATTTCTGCTTCTTTCTCCATGTTTATCAAATAGCTTAACAGCTAAGTTTATAAAATCCTCATTTTACAGCATATATATTACAAATCTATATATAGAGACTTCTGCTGATCTGAGGGAAACTACTGCACGATGCTATACATACTGCACAGTGGTATACAACAGAAACAACTTCCTTAAGATAGAATTATTATATTTATTGTCATCATAACACCAGCTCTATTAATAATTCTGTACTGGTGCTGACTTCTGGATCTTAGGTTCCTCTTCTAAATAAGATGAATTTATTAATATGACCATACAAGAACCTCATGTTCTAATATTACCTCCTTGACTTGATGCCCTTAACTTAATGAACCTACAGTTACCTATAATTCCAAAACAGGCTGCTGTCTTTCCCAATCTCCATGCCTTTCCACACAGTTCTTTCAACTTGAAATGTCCTTTTGTAGCTCACACTCCCCTTTCTACAGAGTTTTAATTTACATCAATCTGTAACTGGAACACTGCCTTCCTACACCCATACTTGGACATAATTCTACTTTTGCATTTTATTGTTCTGTGATATCGGTAGACCTGTCTCTCCTACTAACCATAAGCTCCTTGATGGCAACACTCTCCACAGGTTAGCACTATACCTAATAAATAATAATAGCTTACACTTGTTAAGTGATTAACAAGTAAAAACAGTGAGTGCTATTTGGCCAGGTATTATTCAAAGTACTGTCACATGAATGGATTTAATCCTCACACAACCTTATGAAGCTAGTATTATTAAGCGCCTTTTAAAGATGAAGGAACATGCAAAGAAAGATGAATACTTTTCATTTTTAAAGTATTACTCAGGCCCTGGCTGCTTTGGCTCAGCGGTTAGAGCGTCGACCTGTGGTCCAGAGAGGCCCGGGGTTCGGTTCCCGCTAAGGGCATGTACCTCGGCTGCAGTTTGTCCCTGGCCCTGGTTGGGTCGTGTGGGTGGCAACCACTCGATGTGTCCCTTTCATGTTGATGTTTCTCTTTCTCTCTCTCTTCCTCTCTCTCCCTCCAGCTCTAGCTGAATAAAAAATGGAAAAATGTCCTCAAGGATAAAAAAAAAAAAAAAAAAAAAGTATTACTCAGAGTAAAACACATACACATGCTCTGAGCTTCCAATCTTGACCAAAAAACGTTTTGCAGAGTTCCATTCTAACCTACTACGATGTCACACTGCCACATACACTCATCTGTAACTGCAAATCATCTCTACTGCACCTTCCAAACACAAGCTAATTCTACTTGTGTGCTCTTCATCAGTATTAAGATTTTCCTGGTCCAGAAACGCAGACGCACTCATCTGGCTGGTCCCAGATTATAGAATCTAAACTCTGTCCATTCTTTCTTAATCTATTTATCCATTCCCTTCTATTTTATAGTTTGCCACAAATGACCTGAAAAGCTAGAAACAGGTAACTCTACTGTTAATGTTTTCAACAAATTCATTTTTGGAACAGACACTATGTGGTATATGCAGATTGCTTGGGTTTAAACTCTGGCCAACGGGTTCTAGCTGTGTCATCTAAGAAGGAAATTACTTCATGTTGTGGATCCTCAGTTTCCCTCACCTGTGAAATGAGAGTCCTCAATGAAACCTGCCTCAATGAGTCCTTGAGGACTCAATGAGTTGCAAACCATTTGGAACAGTAACTGTCAAATAATACAAGTGTTGCTGTTATTAACATCACAACATCACACTGCTGCTCAAATGTTGAGCGAGTCCCCACCGACAGAACAAAGGCTAAACACCTGAATTCCGCATCCAGAGATTTCCAGTCTGACTCCATCCTGCCTTCCGAGTGATCCCTGCCACTATTTTGCTACCCAGTTCCCAACTCCTGCCAATACGACCAGCAGTGGAACCTAGAACTCAGCAGAGGCCCTTCTTCCCTTTTTAAAAAAATTTCCCAATTTTTATCTGCCCTTTAGGGTGCAACTCATCTCACCTCCTCTTCGATTTCCCCCACCCACACCCTGGGTAGCGTTCCCCGGCTCCGAGTTCCCGCAGCAGGGCGGCTCACCCACTCATTTGGCATGCACACCGCTTGGCAAGGCAAACCATCTTCCTCGGGCTCCCGCAGGAGCGAGGTCTAAGGGTGGGAGTGTTTCCCCTTCTCTGTACGTAACACAGGCTCGCAGAGCCTAGAAAACGCACTACAGGGTAGGCGATCTGCAGTTCCTACAAAAAAGTTACTCGGTGACAGAAAAAAAAAATGGCCTGAAAGGGAGCAGAGCTGTTGGCAAACTGGGCAGGTGCCGAGTTGTTCTTGCGTGGAGGAGGTGAGGAGCGTCCGGAAGGTCCCGGTGGAGGCGAGGCGAAGGAGGGAAAGTGGCAGGGTGGGGGGTGTCGCGGGGTCCAGGGTGGGGGGGCGCGGCGGGGGGAGGACAGGCGAAGGCCGGGGGAGGATGTGGCGGGGTGGGGGCTCGAAGCGCGCGGCCGCAGTGCCTCCCCGTGGGGGGCGCGGGGACTCGCCCGGCCCCCGCCCCCGCCCGCTCACCTTCTCCTCCTCTTCCTCCTCCCTGGCAGAGCTGTAGACCTCACAGTGGTGACGCGGGGTCATCCGCGGGCCCGCTACCACCTCATTTTCCCCAGCGCGCGGCGGCAGGGCGCGCAGGACGAGGGCCGGGCCGAGGCCGATGGAGGAGGGAGAAGAGGGGGAACCGGGCCGGGGGGCGCGGGCACTGGCACTCGAGCAGGACGCACGGCTGCGGCCGGTGGGTCGGTCAGCGAATTAGTTCCATGACGACCCTGGACCTGAGGCCGCCACCGCCGGTCTCGCTCCTCCAACCGCCGCCGCTTGTGCCCGGGTGGGGAGGGGGCTCCCTCTCTCCATAGGGCGGCGGGGGCCGGGGAGAGGCGGAGAGTGAGACCGGCTCTGCCCCTGCCCGGCGGAAGCGCCTCCAAGGGGAAATGGTGAAAGGGAGGAAGGGGGAAAAAGGAAAAAAAAAAAAAAAGAAGGGGAAGGGGGAAAATAAGAAAAAGCGAGGCAGAGGCGCTGCCGCGTCCGCTCGCGGGGAAGGCTAGGGAGGGAGGGGAGGGGAAGAAGAAGTGCCGGCGCCCTCGGCTCCGCCCTCGCGGACCGATTCCTGAACGAGCTCACGCCTTGTAAACAACACTGTGTGGGTGCCCTGTCCTCCCCCCGTTTTCTCCCCGCCGCCTTCCCGGGCCGACGAACGCACAGAGAAGTGAGGGGAGAAGCTAGACTTTTGGAGAGGAGCTGGGGAAAGCTTTGGCACTGGGGTAAAAGGAGGGAGAACACTTCCTGCGGGCTACGAAAAGCCAAGGTGCGTGGACTCGTTTCCTTGGAGGGGCGGAAGGGTCCCCTGTCGACCGCACGATGACGTAAGCGCCCCTTTCAGCCCGCTGGAAGGGGCGTGCGGTGGCCGGAGAGCGCGCTGCGCATGCGTGCCGGGGAAGAAAGAAGCGGCTGAGCGCTTGACGGGGGGTGGGGTTCTCTCGGGATGCTCCTCCGGCCGAAGCTAGAGCTACCTGCATTTATCCAAGCTAGCTTGCCTCTGGGGCTGGTAGGAGACTACATATTGGGAAGGGTCTGGTAATCTATTGTGTAAGGATATTGTATTCTTTGTTGACCTCGCAAATAATTGTGTTCTCTTATCATTGACGTGTAAATAGGATTGCGGTGTAGTGCTTTAGAAATCAGGAAATTTGGGGGATCGTATCCCTAAGCATCTTTTTGCTTAAGGTCCCTTTTAAAACTGCAAATTATACTGCTGAAGGCCGCGAACCTGCTGGGTAATGTGCCAAGGAAATTCTATCCGCTTAACCAACCAACCCTTCTGCGTATTTCAGACAAGAGTTTATTGCCAGGTGTCTAACGAGTGTGTGGTGACATATAAATGTGTTTTATTTGGGGCTGTCTTACGCACCTATAATAGTATTTGCTCATCACTTAATTGTTTTAATTATAAAAATATGTAGGGTTACAGAACGCTTTGAAAAAGGAAAGGGAAAAAACTCAAGTATTTACAGAAGTAGTCTCCATTGTGTTTTTCATTTGTTCTTTATATGCCCATTTTAAGTCATTGAAAAAATTTGTATTGGGCTTGTTTAGTGGGCCAGACTCAGAGCAAGACAGGGCTAAGCTCTACCAAACTGGAAGTAACCAAGACAGAAATAGCACCAGCCTTCATGGTGTTTACAATCTTGAGGATAAACATTGAGCTAATTATCATCTAAAATTACTTAGTACATCGATTTACTTGTACATTATATTCCCTCCCTAGAATACAAGCTCTTAGATGGCAGGGATCCTCCATGTTTTTCACTCTCTATTTCTGCATGTAAAAGGCTCTCAGTATTTGATTACTGGTTGAATAAGCAGTTGCAAGTATCAAAAATATTAAGATGGAAAATGCAGACTTCTATGGGAACACTTAACCTAGCCTATTTAGAGAGTGTTTCTTTGAGGAAGTGACATTTAAGGTGAGACTTGAAACCACTGGGTAAAGAAGTGGCGAAAGAGTGATACAATAGGCAGAGGAAACCTGTGCAAAGGCTTTGAAGCTGAGGCAGTCTAAAAATCTCTGAAAGGTAGTACAACTGGCCCTCCAGGAATTGAGGGGAGAGAGCTGAGGTGCATAGGGCAATAGGCCGAGCAGGGAATGGGAAGACCTGCAAGGATTTTAATCAGCTTGTATCCTGCTTTTCTTACTTTGTGTAGTCTTTTACTGTATTCCTATGTCTTCTTCCTTCTACAAAGCCAACATTTTTCTCCATAATATTTTGAGAATGTAGCTTTTCTGCATACCACCTCTGAGACTGTACATAATTACATTGTTGGACCATGATTTTAACTCCTATAAGAATAATATAAATTACACTCCTAGGTATGTAGCCAAGAGAAATGAAAACATGTCCATGTAAAAACTTGTGCATGAATGTTCACAACAGCATTATTCATAATAGTCAAAAGGTGAAACAACACAAATATTCACCACCTGATGAATGTATAAGTTAAATGTGGTATATCTATATAATGGAATATTATTTGACTATAAAAAGAGGTACTGATAATTTGGTGAAACATGGATGACCCTTGAAAACATATAATATGCAGTCATTTGTGACTGGCTTCTTTCACTTAATATAATGATATCATTTCTATGAAATGTCCAGAATGGGCAAATCTGTAGAGACAGAAAGTAAATAGTGGTTAGGACTGGGGCAGAAATGGGATGGGGAATGAAAGCTAAAGGGTGTTGGGATTCTTTTGCTTTTATTTTTTAATATTTTCATTGGTTTTTTAGAGAGAGAGGAAGGGAGAGATAGAAACATCCATATGAGAGAGAAACATCGATAGGCTGCCTCCTACACTCCTCCTACTGGGTATTGAGCCTGTGACCTAGGCGTGTGCCCTGACCCGGAATCCAAGTGGGACCTCTCAGTCCATGGGAGGATGCTCAATCCACTAAGCCACACTGGCCGGGCCCAAGCAATTTATATTTGTGTTGCTAGAGGGTTGATTTTTGCTTGGGAAGGGGTTATTAAAATTTTTTTGACATGTTTTATTTCATGACTGAAATATTGAATCTTGAAGTATAAACATGCCTTGCTTCAACTGCAGAGTGGTAGAGGAAGGAAGCACCTGAGAAATAGTGTGCTGTTATAATAAAAGCTCTGTTCTGAAATGCAAAACGTTGTAAAGTGAGACCCCTTCAGAAGTCTAGGACAACTCAAGGGAACCAAGTTGATGAGCACAAAGTGGTTTGCTAGCCTTAATCTGTCAAGAAAAATGATTAGAAATGCACTGCTTACATTTTTATGAATATAGAAGACCAGGCTATTTAATCTTTAATAACAAAAATTTCTAGTCTCCTTAGTCTTAAATGAATTTTTTAGGGTAACCAGGAGACAATTTATGAAGGTACTATCTTGTAGGAGAAATACTAAGGCCTACAGAAACAAAGGAAGTGATTTATTATCATTATAATCACTTGTTTTTAGCATCTGCCAACACTTAAGGATCCTTCTTACAGCTTTCAAAATATTTGTTTTCATTAATCTCTACAGAGACAGAGTGTGGGAGGAATAAATCTCCCAAATAGATATCAAGAGAAAAGGAGTCCTCATTCACCAAATAATATAAAGACCTCCTACTTACTAGTAAGTGAAGTTTTCAAACAAACAAAAAAGTCAGAATTCTAAAATAGGAAGTCTCAAGCTGCTTTCCAGACTTTGGCCAACTCCAAATGTAAACTGGCTTTAAACTACTCGTATTTAGGTACTTATTTAGAAAGACCTTACTTGGAGGGATCATTGGTCATATACGTTATTAACAGGAGCCCCAGAAGTCAAATAGCAGCCACCTATTTGAAATGTTTAAATCTAAAGGCTTCAGTAGAAATATATATACTTTTTTTTGGTGCTGTTGGAAGAAAAATACAGCATTTACTCTTTCACGAACTATTTTGAATCTTGAACCACCAAACTTAGTAAGTTCAGAAAAAAATATTTTTGTTTATGTAATTAAACTACCAACACTATTTTTTGTCAGGTATTTATGGAGAAGGAATGGAGAGAAAGATAAACATCTTCCAAAGTGTATTTTTAGTCTCTTCACAACATACGTTTACTATAACCCCTATTTTTTCTCAGTAAAGGAAAATAATTATGTTTTGGTCATCAGTTTAAATGATCTACAATCAAGGTTTCCGAGACTTCTTTCTCATATAGCTAAGCTGCTTTTATCACCAGTCAATGATTTAGTAAATATTTGAGTCCTGACTGCATCCTGGGCTAGGTACCGTAAGAGATTGTAAAGTGAGTCACATATGGTCTTGTTTATAGGAAACTTGTTCATTCACTCATTCTTTAATTCAGTAACGTTTACTAGGTGTGTGACCATAATAAAATTAATCAGCTTCTCTATAACTTGACCTGTTTCATCATCTGTAAAATAGGGGTAATAATATATCTCCCGGGTTTTTATGATGATTAAATAGGATAATATTTACAAAAGGCTTAGAACAACCTATAACACATAGGAAACACTAATTGTTACCTGAACTCTTCTAAGAGTTCTTTATGTGCCAGGCTTGAGTTTGATTTTTTTTTTTTCACTTAGTACAGTTAAAGTTGGCCCACCCTTAAGCAGCCCTCAGCCTTGCAAGGGAGACAAACACATAATAAAAACACTGTTAATATAACATGAAAAGTTTTATAATAGTTATATGCAGAATGCTATGGGGAAACTGAAAAAGGAGACATTCTATGTGTTGGTGAGGGAAGTCTTTTATAAACTTGAATTGACTGTGGTATTATTTGCTGTGCAACAAATTGCCTCAAAACTTAAGCTGTGAAAGAGAACGAATATTTAGTATCTCAGTTTCTGAGACTCAAGAACTATAGCTCAACTGGGTGGTTCTGGTTCAGGATCTCTCATGAGGTTACAAGGAAGGCGTTGCCTGGAGCTGAAGTCATGAAGGTACTGGAGAACCTGCGTCCAGGTTGAGTCGTGTGGCTGCAGGCAGGAGGCTTCAGTTCCTTGCTGCTGGGACTCTCCATAGAGCTTGCTCATGACCAGGCAGCTGGCTCCCCCATAACAAGTGATGAAAAAGAGAATGAGAAATGATATACTCTCATGTTTGCCATATTCTTTTTATTAGAAGCAATTCACTGAGTCCTGCCTATATTGAAGGGAGGGCAATTAAACTTGAAAGGACAACTATCAAAGAACTTGTGAACATATTTTTAAAACCACCACAGGTGTGAAAAGTAAAGTTTAGCTAAGTAGAAAGGAACAAATTTATGACCAGCAAGGGAATAACAAACAAATAGAAATACTAGATTAGATGACATGTAATCTAGCATGGCTAGAGAATTGAGGGGGTTATTGTTAAACCAAGGCTTAGAGAGATTAACGTAATGTTTCCAACATATATAGTTAGTTAATGGCAGATATAGGTCCTGAGCCCATATTTCTGATTATAGAATCCA